TTAAGTTGTGTTTATCTCATTACTCGAACTTCCGTAATCACTGAAAGTGTCAACAGTCTTTTCAGTCCGTGTGAACGTGTTATTCAAGCAATTTAAATATTTCTTGTGTCACCTTTCCCTTCAGCCATGAAAGTGATACTCGCACGGAATTTCTAAACCAATGAAATATATTACTGTTTAGTTCAAATTTAGTTATATTAAATGTTATATTTAAGCCGTGTGGTGATTTTCTACAAGACCTGTATTAAGCGGTCAACCTGATTAAGCGGTCATTTGCGAAATCCCCGAGGGTGACCGCTTAATACAGGTTCGACTGTATTTTGTTTTGACAGTACAAAACAAATGTACAAATGTACAATATTAGCCAGAATTGTATTGCATAAATTCGTTAAAATATCGGCAACAAAAATACCGATATGCCGTTCTGGATACAGTCATATCGGTGCACTAGGAATATAAATTCTTTAATAGAAATTCTTATAGGAAATTACAGCATGTCTAAAAAGGAATTCCTATAAGAATAGCCTGAAATTCCCATAGGGTTTTCTATAGGAATAGATAAAGGGGAGCAAAATAATAAAGTAGGGTACATTTGGGTGCATTAATTAACAAAATTTCTGTTTTATAGACTGTTTGCAGACTAGGGGCATTTGCAGCTTAGGGGCTGTCGACAGATAGATTTCGTCCACCGATAGAGAGATGGACAGACAGGACAGGTAGATAGATAGACAGATAGATAGATGGATTTCATCCACCGACTTGTTCCAATCCATCATGGTATTCACCCCTTCTCCAGCCCCCACATCACAAACCAACATGGGAAAGTATAAATGCATACTCGACGGAATTAGAATGCCATTTTGACAACAAATATAGATCCATACATAAACTAGTTTAATAAATATTTCAATAGTGTTTTGTGGTATTCCAAGGGCTATTTGTAAAAACCCGAAAAGAAATTAAATAAAGACCTTTAATTTTATGACCAAAAATGGCGAATTTAAATGAAAATCCCAAAACGCATATCGTACATGCAGTCTTGCATGTGTCAACAACAAATGATCAATGAACATGATCAAATACTCTGGATAGCGTAAATGTTTGGATAATATTGAATAAACTTTGCTGGGTTTATGGATAATATGCAATGTTTTTTCACACACACCAATTCAGATTTTGTCTTTATTTTGCGCCCTTTCTATGAGATCTCCAAGCCTAATTTTCCTTTGAAATGGGTGAAAATTTAAATAAATATTACTTCTGTTATAGTGTCCAAACAGCAACTCAGTTGTATCATAATATTGACGATGAACACTTGAAGACATCAGTCAACTTTATCACACATCCCAAAGAGAAATTTGGCAAGCACAAGCCTGCATATGTCACAAGATACGGTCCTAAAGGATTTGTTGTTCATGGTTCTAGAGTGCTTGGCTCCTTGGTCATATTGCCTGGACTGTTTTTGCATTGGAAGGTAATTAATTAGAATATTTAGTATTGGATCATTCCAGAAAACATCCATACCTCTCCCACAGAGAAAATTGGAAGTTAAGTACGGTCCCCCTACCCCCTTCGGATGTCCTAACACACTTACTATATTATCAACAACAAATTTTTCTCTCCTTGTTAATTTCCCACAGAAATCTCCTCTTTGGGAGAGTATGAATCTTTTCAGGAATGACCCATTATAGTTTAGGTATTATTATTATTTTTTTTAATAAATATTTAATTTAAAAAAGAAGTTTGCCCCAAGAGCTACTGGTTGCTCATCTAGGGGGCTCACTTCACATTTACATAGCTACTTAGAAAAAACACACACAAATCGATTAGACAATATTAAATACAGTCAGTAGTTATATACACAAGGAAGTACTGAAAGATGAACTGCAAACAGATTCAAATCTCCTGAGCATGGAAACGTTTAGTTTCTTTTATAAAATTTTGGATGTGGTAAAAGATTGGAAAATTTTCATCCTCAGAAAGTAATGAGGATCCAAACAAAAAAAGCTTTATTATTTGTGAATTGGACAATGCAAGCCATCTATCAGCAAAAATGCAAGCAGCAGAGGTGAGCAGCTTCAATCTGTGAGCAGCGAAAATTGGACAATGTAAAAAATAATTATTAATAGTTTCAATTTCAAAACCACGAGTACATTTTGGAGATAATTTACAACCAATTTTAAATAAATAATAATTTAAAGCACAAGCGTCCAAACATATTCGAGTATGAATGATTATTCGAGTATGAATGATACTTTAGGTATTAAAAGGGGGCAAAGGCAGGGCTTTCAAAATAAGCCGATGGGTGCCACAAGGTGCACTGTTGGTTACTTTGTTTAGTAGTTGAAATATCAATTCTGCTCTCCTTACTTCACTCAAAGCTTTCAAACGAAGTTATTTTTCCTCAACCTGGTCTAACTTTATAGCCTGGTTATTTTCGAGAACAACATGCTATTTTGTAAAACTGATTTAGCCTGTTGGAGAATGAAAGTAGTGGACCAGGTATTGTAATAATTATAATTTGGTTACAGAGTTCAGTCGTGTTGCTATACACTTGTCTAGTTAATCTGGGTGACTTTAAGAATCTGTACATCACTCTCCACAGCCGCCTATCTTATCAACACAAGTCTGAAAGTCCCCATGGGCGGGGGCACTTCCAGTAATCATGGGCATCCCCTATCAAGCCTGTTTTGAAATCCGCTCACCAAAGAGCGAGAAACTGAATTAACAATTCTTCTATTTGAATTGAATTATATTGTGTAAAGATCAGGGCTTGAATTTTATCGCGGCAATTTCTGTAGAGGGAGAACAAAAAGATGTGGATCATTGCGGCAACAACAGCAATTTTTTGCCGTATAGTGTAATTTTTGTACTATTCTCTGTGCATTACTATTTTGATACTTGCATTCAGATGTTGATCAAATCATGCGTAAATCACTATTTTAGTCTCAGTTTCCTTCGGAAAAAAAACAACTAAATAATTACGTAGTCTAACAATAAAATTAAAGTTTTATTACACACGAGTAATTTGAAAAATGCCATGGAAACTGTCAAAATTGCAGTAAACAGCTGTTACGTTCTACGGCAATTTATAACGCCATTGCCGTCGATTGATTTCAGGGAAATTCGAGGCCTGGTAAAGATTTTTTTTTTCTGAACTAGGTAAAAAATGCCAACGAAATCTGTCTTGAAAGTCTAGAGTTGTTTGCCCTTGTCAAGCCACGTATAGGTAAGTTTCGGTATATATGCATGTGGAATGAATAATAATAATAATTTATTTTAACTCTGTTTACATACAGCACACAAAGTGTTAGTTTGACTGAGATACTAGACTATATATATAGCCCCATACAGACTAGCAACTTGCTCTTGACATGTTTCCTGACAAGTTCATTTGCTTCTATTTATGATGTGAAATCAGTTAATTAAGCACTAAAATCCACAGTTTGGCAATTTTATTCTTGATATACGTCCTTTCATAAAATAGTAGTTAATAAATTACACATTACAACATTGGCCGAATTTCTCCTTAAATCTAAATTTTTGCAATTATCTTTTTTTCTTTCTTGGGGAAATATTTTCTGGGAACTCAAAAAATTTCCTGGGACCAATGAATATTTTTTTCAGCCCTGGTGGGCAGGGTTTTTTTCCAATTGTTAATTGTTATATGAGTTCTTATTTCGTTTTTGCTCATTTTTATTCAGATATTATTGTGATTGGAACGGGTGATAAGGTTGTGAGGTTGGA